CTCTCTCTCTCTCTCTCTCTCTCTCTTTCTTTCTTTTACACACACACGCGCGCACACACACTGTCTCTCTCTCTCTCTCTATATATATATATATATATATATATATATATATATATATATATATCGATATCAATCCCTATCTATCTCACTAGCGCATACACAACACACAGAGGCACACTCTCGCTCCGTCTTCCTTTCAATCTCGCCGTTCTTTTTTACTCGTGTGGCGTCACTTTTTTCAATCACTCCATACAAACAGGCGCGCGCGCACCCCCTTCTCATTCTCGGCCTCCCTACCTCCCTGCCGCAATCGCAACTCTACAAGCGCACTCACTCACTCTCGGAGGGGGAGGAGACGGGCGCAAGCACGAGCAAACGATTCTTATGCTCGCCGCCTCCTCTGGACACACCGTATATTCCCATGTAACGCGCTAACTATGAAACCGATGAGGTCGTCGTCGTCGTCGTCGTCTCTCGCTACCCCCGACCGGAGATTTCAGGCTTGAATCGTGTTCGAGCCTGGTGAGGTACGGACAGGTGGACAAACTCGTAGGATCGGCACCTGTGAAAGCCGTCGGCCCGTGTCGAGCTGTCGACGACGGTTTTGCGCAACACGCACACCGTTAATAAAAGAGGTAGGGACCGGACGATGTAGATACACTCCGGAACGTGTGCCTACTAATAAAGAATGTTGCTGTGTGGAGCTTCACACACGCCACACATGAGTCAGGAATAAGCATTATTTAAGCGTGTGTGCATGGCGATAGTGTAGCGTGAAAAAGGAGTGGAAAGCATTGCTAGGAATTTGCTCGGCGGGTGGGGTAAAACGTAAGTCCGCGCGCCGTTCTTTCGTTTGAAACTGTTGTTCCTGCTTGCATTTGTTTTTCCCTTCACTTTTTTCATTGATCGACATTGCTTTATTGCTATGTAATCGAGCGTAGCCGACAATTGCCGACTAACTCGCCGGTAATTTGTTAGTTAATTTTTGGGCTAAAGGCGCCTTTGTGTTATGCTTGCATCGAGTCATTGCAAGTGGCCACGGCGAGATCGCAACTAGCGTTTCCAGATAAAAAAAAAAGAGTCACAAGATTTGAGGGGCGAGAGACGGAGAGAGAGAGAGAGAGAGAGAGAGAGAGAGAGAGAGCACGATATGTGCATAATACGAGTAATTTTTTCTTTTTGCTTAAATACTGAAAACGATATTGCATAGTGATTGCGAGCTTGTCCTTCTCCACACTTGCTGTTTACCATGTATAATGTACAAGATAATAAGACATATTATTGTACGGCAAACCGGACACACTTTATTGCTGCTTTGCTGAAACATCGACAATCGCATTTACGTTCACGAATCATCGATAAACTGTATTCAAAGATATAATATTTCCTAACAAACGCACATTTACTATTTACTAAACTGTTTATTTTTACTAAATTGTTTATTATACAAAATACAAAATCACAATGCTGTTGGAATTAATTGTCATTAATTTTGGTTATGCATGAAAAATAAGTCATTGTTGAATCGTGCTTTCCCAAAGTTTACAAATGTATTACACAAGAATGGAAAAATTTCGTCGAACTATTTATAAATAAATTTTCCGAGTATTGTTAAGCTATGAAAACACAATCCACCTTTCATTTTGTGTCATTTAAATGAGTTAATAATGACAGCGTAACGATCTTATATATACACACACGTGCACACATATATGATTAATACGAATAGTTGAAATAATAAAAATATTTTAGAAATGATCGAGCTCGTATTGCCCTACTGGATCAGATACTTTAAAGATTAAAAAAAAAAGTATTAGATAATTTCCCTTTCAAATTATATTAAAATAATTTTTTCTAATTATTATTATTATCCATTGTTCTTTCATGATTGTTTTTTTTTTCTTCTCTTTTCTTTTCCACGATAAATATCCTAAATCATAATGCTATTTAGCGCGCAACTTTCATATTACTTAAAAATAAATTCATCTTTGTACAGAAAATGTTCCATTAATGCAATATCTTTAATCTTAAATTCATACATTATATATTTTGCAATTTAGTATAACATATAAAAATTGTTTAAAGTACAGCTTTCCAAGCTTAGATCGTTAAATCATCAGATGTTTTTGTACGTAATAATGCCGTGTAATAGTAATGACGACATTTGTAGTTTAGATAATTCTATAAAAATTATAGAGGTGAATGCAAAATTTATATGAATGCTGGTGTTTGGCTCAAACATAGAAATTTTATATCAATATTGTCATACTAATAAATTTCGTTATTATCACCTGACCTAGAATAATAACTATAAACCTTTATACTCTAATCGTAAAAAACTTGGTAAATATTTGAATAGTCGCTCGAAGTAAAGTCGAGTGTAAATTGTAAATATCTGGACAAAAATACATTTTAATTGAAAACAAAAAAATCAATACAAATGCTTTAATTGCAAAACACGTTTAAATTGTCGTAATATTAAATTAATTAAATACTTAGAAACGTTTTTTTTTTTTTTTTTTTTTTTTTACACTTTCACGCTGTAAACATAATCTCTTAAAATTTCATTCAACATTAATTACCGTGTCTTCGCAAATATCGCCTCTAACATTACCATTTAATAATACGAATAATATAAATAAAATTATGATTTATCATTAAAATTCTTTTCACTCATATTAAATACAACTTATCATATGTAAATAACTTTGCAATTATTTTCGTGGCCTCTGTAAAAGTAATCGAAAAGACCAATAATATTGAGGTACATTATTCGAAGGCGATATAAATCAATTGATTTATTTTATTATATTATATAAAAACGAATGAAATTGAATTTAACGATATATGTACGTAGAAAACGAACGAGTGCGAGATAACATCGTTGAGAAGAATTGAAAAAAATCGAAAATAACGTCTCCTCCTCACCTTCACCGTCCTTTCATTAATTGCTATTTTCATTTAAAACAGCTTATTAATATAAGTAGCACGTAAACTTGAATTATATAAGCATCTCTTTTAATGAATAAGCAAATATAACATTAATAATAAACTTTGGTTATTTTAAAACTTTATATCCTATGATAATTAATATCATAACGTTTAAGACCGTAAGTACAGCCATTGATTATCAAACGGAGAAAATAAACCATTTTTACTCTACACACATTTAATAGACTGTCAAACTTTTTTTTTCAAATAGAATCAATAAAGAATATACAAAGATGGGCGATTAGATATTTCACAGATTAAAGCCTTTATATACTAGGTAAATTATAAATTGAACGGCCAATCGATTTGAAACCTAGATTTCGAATATTTTTAATCTCGTACTCGCTAACACTTATATTTCGATAATTTCTTTTATTCTTAATGTTTCTTTTTTTCTTTTCATTTGTCCTTTTCAGATTCAAAAACAAGAAAATATTAATATAACGATACATTGGCATTTCCAATTTATAATGCCATAGATGATAAATGACATTCGCATTGAACAATGATTATCGCTTTCTACAGAAGCTAAGAAAAACAATAATTTATTAGGTAACTTTATCATTCCTTCGATCGCACGACCATTCGCTATTCCCATAGGCTTGCACATTTATTCGCCAAGTTCATCTATAACAGTCGGATAAAACGCTAAATGGTAAATGGTTTGAGATGAACGTCAGATAGCAAAGAATCGCGACAAATTTATTCACGACTCCTCTCGCTCTTATGAATTATTAATTTACGATTTGTAAAATCATCCCAATCTCCCATGTTTAATTGCGCCGTAATTAGAGGCCTCGAGCACCAATTACCATGTAAAATCTTAAATAAAGGCTCGAACAAAGGCCCCCCGCCCCTCCAACCGCTCATTAAACGGCTTGAACAACAATAAGGCAAAAGACGACGGCGAAGAAAAGAAGAAAGAAACACCCTAACCGGCCGATGCACCAATGGCAATTGCATTCTGTTTTATCCTCCCGAGGGCTCGCTCACTGTCCTTTCCAACACATCGACTCGCGCAATAAACACACGATGCATACCATACAACACATCGTCGTCACGGGCAAGTTTCGTCAAGCGAGCAAACGTCCATGGAAGCGCGCTTACGAGCCAGCCGCATCAACGGGGGGAACCCACGGAGCTCGAAGGTAAACAACGGAGATCAAAAATCGTCGCTACTCCGACTCTTTTCTACCCACGCGGTGCGCGCGAGCCAACATTTCCCAGGGCCGACGAGAGAGGTCGCAGTTGGTCCTCGGCTAGGCTAGGCCAGGGCAAACCGTACGATGTTCGTCGTCTACGGCGCGACCTCGAGCATTGTCCTCCGCGGGCTCGTTCGCACCTGCTCGGACCCCGTGAACGTAATAGATGAAAAGTCACTAGGAGTCTCGAAGGGTTCTTGGGGGAATCACGGGAGCGCGAGCATAGGGTTGGCGGCAGCGGGTTAAATCGCACGTAAAGACGAGCTCGAGGAGAACGCGAGAAGCGAGGTGGTTCCTCTGGCTCGAGCCGCCACGACCGGTGACCCCGTCGCCCTCGTGAGCTCGGTCGGTAGGGTCGGTGAGTACGGTGTATGATGCATGCAACAGCCGCGGCCGCGTGTACCCACCCGTGGCGCTTGTTTACGCGGCGGCGGCACAACGTCCTATCGGCCGCACTGTGCCCCGTGTGCGTGCGCGCGCGCGCGCTCGCGCGCACAAAGCCGCTGAGCGAGCGAGACGTAGAAGAGCCGTAGCTGCGCGTTTTCATGGGGAAAGGAAAGGAAAGGAATGGGACGATGCGGTGGGATGGGGTCGGCCGAGCGGCGTGGAGGGTGGTGGTAGCGGTAGCTCGGGTCGTGTGTTCCTCGTGTGATGGTGGCGGTGGTGGTGGTGTAGATGTCGGCGTCGGTGTCGGTGTCGGTGGCGGTGACGGTGGTGGTGACGGTGGTGGTGACGGTGGCGGTGGCGGTGGCGGTGGCGGTGGCGGTGGCGGTGCTGGCGGCGGCGGCGGCGGCGACGAGAGCGCGATGTTAGGTTGTTGTGCGCAGTGCTCGAAGGCTGTAGCAGGAGCGAAGCTGAGCGTAGCCGAGTAACGAGCGGCGTAGCGCGTCGAGTGTAGACACGAGTGGAGTACGGAGTGGCAGTGGCTTGTGGCCGTAGTGGCCCAGCCCAGAGGCCCCAGTCAGTCTGTGGCATTCCTTGTTGCAGTCGGGTCACGTAACGAGTAGCCGAGCTCCTGCGAGCCGCTCCGTCCGCGTCGTCAAGTTAGCGCTCGATTTGGCCGTTTAAAGGGGGAAGATAGGACGCCGCGACCAGGACGGCATCGCTGAGAGTTCGGAGGAAGGGCCGCGCGCCGCCTCTGGCCCTCGTCCCGAGTGCTTTTCTCTCATTTCGTCCTCTCGTGGGGCGAGCGAGGGAGGAGGAATAGGAGGAGGAGGAGGTGGTGTTGGTGGCGGTGAAGAGGGAGGAAGAGTGACAAGGGCTTGGGAAGGGTTGGAGTTACGAGCTTACGCTGACAGGGTGGTGGCAAGTGGCGAGAGGACGAACGAACGGAGATCCTTTTGATCGCGTTAGTGTGACTCTGGCGGGCGTCGCGCCAGCGCGCCTCCATATATACCTTCTTTCCTGCAGCTCTAAACATCTTGGAGAGGAATAATCAAAGGTAAGATTTCTACCATCGTTTCCTCCTCTTTCTCCTCTTTATCCTAATCCCCCCCCCCACCTATTGCGTTAATGCCTCATCCAGCTCGGTTCGCTTTTCCGTAAAGTGGATAGTCTTATTTCGATTAAATGTGGAGTTGTTGGTTATTGGGAGATTGGAGCATGGATGAGGAGAGGAGAGGAGAGGAGAGGAGAGGAGAGAGAGAGAGAGTGAAAGAAAGAGAGAGAGAGAGAGAGGCCAGTAGTACTGGGAGAGGCTCGTCATTGTGGCGACGTTCGAAGACACGAAAAATTGTTCAGGTGAGTCCCTCTCTCTCTCTCCCTCTCTCTCTCTCTCTCTCTCTCTCTCTCTCTCTCTCTCTCTCTTTCGCTCGACTCTTTCGCAACTTCTCTCCGAGTCAGTGGTTGTCACTACACTATACCACTACCACTACCACTACCACTACCACTACCACTACCACTACCACTACCACTACCGCTACCATTACCATTACCACTACCACAACAACAACACTACTACTATTACCACTATGAATACTACTGTTACTATCAACTACCACTACTTGTATTCCTAATACTACTAATACATGTAATACTAATACTATCACTATTACCAAACTACTAGAGATACTACTGTTACTACTGCTGCTACTACTATTACTACTACTACAAATACAACATGTAACGTTGCCACAACCACTACCAGTTCACGGGCGTGTATATTATATACATACCAGTTAAAGAGCGGAGAGTGAATATAGGAAAGAAAGGTGAAAACGCGGGTCGACGTTGGCTATGGTATACATGACTCGAGACGACATGGCCGTATGCTAAAACGTTTCGTTCATTTTTCTCCTTTTGTCGTGCCGAAGAGAGAGAGAGAGAGAGAGAGAGAGAGAGAGAGAGAGAGAGCGAGGGTACGCGCGAGACGCGAGACGGGAGAAGCAGAGTCGACGATGACGTTCCCGCGCGTGTATACGCGCAGCCTTATCTTTTACACCGGCTGATAAAGATATTGCGAAAGCAAAGAGGACTGTCGGCTAACTTTTCATTTATCGATAAGTAGACGGATTTTTTATGTACGCCTTCTTTTATTTCGGCGATTGCATGTGAACGTGCCGTACCGCCCGAGATGCCATATGTAATGATAAAGATGCATCGTCCCTGGCTACGAGGTCTTATTTCCGAATTGACGGGAGATTTTAGCGAGGCTGGTTGATAATGCTATAATGCTTATTGAACGAGGGATCGACCGCGACAATAGTTTCATAAAGCCTATTTATTTTTGTTTAATCGGCCATTCATTGCAGAGCCGCTAGATAGGATGAAAAAAATAATCAAGTGCACTGGCTGAACTGGTTTGCTCGTTTCGTCAATTTATCTTCTTCGATGGTTGCGCGTAGTGGCAAACGATCGTTATCGGCCAATTATAACTCTCTCCAGCCAAGCTGATTATAATATTTAAAAGAAAAATGTCTTACTTGCGCCAATTGCAACTACTTGCTTGCAATTCCTTAATTGATATGAAATTAAGTGTTTGAGCATCGATAGCCAATGAATTTTTTAAAAACCAAATGTTTTTCTAAGCTATAACTAAACTATTATTATATCGAACGCGTTGCGTAAGGAGTATTGTAAAAGTAGTAGTGCCGAGTTAAATTCTAACTGAATTCGGTTATTCGAACGATAATGATTAAACCTTTAATCGTAATTTCTACATTATTTCAACATCACGGGAGAGCGCGCACGCGTACGCAAACGCATTTTTACATAATTTATTAAACAATTACTTGCGCGAGCTGTATATACCTTTGTAATGCTTAAATGAAATGTTTGAACAATCTTTCGACTTTTATTAAAATTAAAATTAAATTACGCTTGAATCGTAAGTTCGGACAGTCGGCCAATTTTTCTCTCGACAAAGTTCTCCGCTACATTCGTACTATTCGCCATTACTGAGGGGTTAGTTCATTTTGAACACACACACACACACACACACACACACACACACACACAGAGAGAGAGAGAGAGAGAGAGAGAGAGAAGAGTGAATAAGAATTTCCAGACCATTCTCGCTCATTTACGAATTCGGGATTTCCGGAGAGAGTGTTCGAGTGGCGGGCAGCACCAGGTCGAATATTTTCCAATTATTTTTATGCGTCTTTGTGTTTAGTCTGTGTAAACAATGTGGAGTACGTCGAAAGTAAAGGCCTTGAAATAGATTACAAAGCGTGCAATAGGAGGTGAGAAAAATTTTTTCTCACCTCTCATTTTCTTGTTTAGCTCCTTATTGTCAGTCCTTAATGTCGGGAATCGTTCCATTTTATGAGATATTAGAGGCGAAAAAGTTGTAACTCAAGCCCGTTTTTAGTTTTTATAGATACAAATATACGATGGCATATGAATCAGAGTAATTGTTGAATTGATAAATATTAATTAATTTTTTAATTAAGTCATTTATTAAGTTTCTTTCTTTTTTTTTGTTTTTTGTTTTTTGTTTTTTGTTTTTTGTTTTTTTGTTTTTTTTTTTTAAGTACGCATTTTCTTTTAAGATTAAGTAAGGTGTTTGTTGAGTAATAAATTGCCTACGAGGAATATATGTTTAAAATGGGTTTATTAAATACGTATGCGATCGATTAAATTCTAAATCTATGGATCAATTTAAATTAGTTTAGATATGCATGTCTGTAGTAAGGTCAGAATCGATAATTGTTAGTTCTTTATTATTTGTGAAATAGACTTATTCCTTGGATAAAGAGTACTTTGGTCCAGGCAGTAATTCTTTACAAATAACAATTTGTTCCTTTGGCCATTTATTGTGCACTGCATGACTATTTATTATTATATATTTGTGGATGCCGCCTAATACATCAATTTCAACGACACCATCATTATAATGGTATTCTTGACAAATGTCAAAGTCTTATCCGTGAGCCCATTAGATTATAAATTCCCTAATGATTCTTATTAGCAGTCCAATCGTAATGAAAAAAAAAAAATAAATAAATAAAAAAAAAAAATCTTCATCATTTTGTTTAGGAACTTATCAAAATATGCCACGTACGTCTTTTATGCACCTCGCAATACGAATATTTTAATCTTAAAAATTTGTTTGACGAGTACAAAACAAATTAAGTGTAAATAAAATTTCGTTTTATAATGTTACTGCTTACAATGTTCGACAATAACAACTTGAATTACACATTGCAAATTTATATAAGCTTATACATTTTCATTTAACCTTTAGTTTTTCTAGGATTTTATTTTTATTATTCGCAAATGTAGAAAAAAAAATTTTTCACCCTGCCTTATTACTTATACAATAGTAATTTCCTATCGTATCATTTTAATCTAATAGTTAAAATTTTATTCCATTATATTGCACAGTTTCTTAATTATTAATGATGAATTAATTATATAGATAATGAGATAGTAAATTAATGAAAATATTTTGATGAAATGGGCTGAAAACTACAAAAATTCATCATACATTTATTTGAATTTTTTTTTTTTTTAAGAATTACAACATCTAATGTACGTTATCTAAAATATCATCGATTGATTCATAGATTATATAATAAATTGCATTTTCGTGTACAACAATTATAGTCAAGTAGATAAATAAATAAATTGAAATCGATAATAATGTAAAGCTATTATCGTTTTAAATATAATATCATTTACTCACTAATTGTTGGAATAAAATATGGAATTTTAAATAAAAATTCTTTACGGAATATTACAATGTGTGAGTGCGTGTACATTAAATGCAATTTTTAATATGCAGGTCAGTAAATAGCCATTAATAAATCAGACGTGTACTCGGTAAGTTTTATAAAAGAAGCAAAGGTGGAATTGATAAAATTTCTCTTATGAAATGAAAAAAAACAAATATGCGTTTCAATCGTTTACTTCTACTACATTATCCTTTATTATTCTTATTAAAAATTGAAAATGTAATACAAATTGTAATTACCGTAATCAAACCATACTGCTACACATTCTAGTGAAACAATTGTTTTAACGTAGAATCAGCACAATGTATCATCAATACAAGAATAAATATTATACTCGATGAAACTTTAATTGCCTTCTGGCATTGATAAATATGAAATTTAACACAACAATTTCGCAACAAATTATCACATACAAAAATGCACGAGGCAGCAATTTATCGACAGTATCGTGTGCTCTCATAACCAATGAGTTTTCTCCTTCGCTAAAAAAGTAGTGGGCGATCTCTCGTGTACGTATGCGTATGCACGTATATACGCTTGCACATGACCATCATAAAAAAAAAAATCAAAAAAAAAAATAAGAATTCGGCACGCGTACTCGTCTCCACTTACAATGTGCGTGGGTCGCAATTAAAGGCGAGCGATGCTTTAGAGTGAGTGAATGAGCGCGACATAGAGCAAAAGAGGGAGGAAGAAAGCAAGAGTGAGGGAGGGAGAGCCTTTGTGCACCCTAAAAACATTTTTTTCTAAGAGAGCGTGCAGTGTGAAAAACAGCGGTAGCAATGACAGCTGTGGGAGAGTGCGAGAGAGTGAGATGGATAGAGAGAGAGAGAGAGAGTGTGTGTGTGTGTGTGTGAGAGAGAGAGAAGTTGCTGGATCTTATGTCTGGATCTGTTGACTAGCTACTGTCTCTATCTCTCTCTATGTGCGTGTGCGTCTCTCTCTCTCTCTCTCTCTCTCTCTCTCTCTCGTTCTCGCTCTCGCTCTTTCCCACTCTCACATTCACTCTCTTACTCTGCTTCTTTGTCGTTAGGGAGAGAAAGAGAGGACTTGGCCATAGACAGATGCGTCGATGCGCGACGCCACGATTCCCCAGCATCCTCTCTCCTTCGATTGCATTTGTTTGACGATCTGCTTTATATTTATATGCAGTACATGTTAAATTTTCAATTCTTACCTTTTGCTCCATTGTTTTTGCTATTTTTAAAATGTATTGCTTGATGATTTGTTTTAAATAACGTAATCTATAAAAATTTAAACTTTT